AGTGGCCTCTTCAATAAATCCAGGTATAGGAGGTATAGTATTATCTTTGGAGGAATGTGGAGGAGTTGGAGATAGAGTCCCAGGGAAATTAATTGGAGTAATCTCTGTTATAACAGGCGTGTTTTCAAGATTTGAGTTAGCAGTTTCGTCTATTGGTCTGTCAGTAACAAAAGCAGACAAGAAATCATCTTCCTGAAAAATATCTTTATTAAATGGTGCAATACCAGTCTTTTGAAATCCGTTGATGATGTTAGCCGGATTTAGCGCTAAGGGCAAAGCTTTACTCACTATAGATGGAATATTGTGAATAGTCATTGTCTTACCCGGATTGTTTCTAAGCCAAGCATCTTGCTGGCTGGCACAGTAATTTTTAAATGGTCCATAGACCCCCACATCCATGGGCTAGAGTTTATGAGCAATGTGGTGGGAAGGACAGCAATACCACATTGTTTTCTTTAGCTGTTACGACGACTTCAATATCCAAGTGCGAAGAATGATTATCCAATAATAAGAGCACAGGATTGGATGGAGATGGTTTTACATTGTCTATGAAATGTTTCATGAATGTTTTAAATTCACCCCCAGTCATCCAACCACTCGAGTTGCCAGCGCCAATGCAGCCTGGAGGTCCATCGCGAACAAAGTAGTCCCTATATTTCATTCGTGGGAAAATAAACATACATGGTATCGAGTTTCCCACTGCATTTACTGCTATGCAAAGAGTGACAAGAGTCCCTCTCTCCGCTGACGTAATGGAACCAACTTGCTTGGACCCTTTTGGAGCCAAAACTTTTCTAGGTTTCTGCACCGTTGTCACGCCAGTCTCATCTACATTCCATATGCGTGACAAAGAAAATTTATATCTATCCAACACGTCTGCCAGCTTAGAAAAAAAATTATCGACGTTAGTTTTATTAAATGACGTAGCCCTACTTAGGCTAGTAGCCTCTGGCGATCTTATAGACAAAGACTGGTTCCGTTTTAAAAACGCTGTCAGCCAATCAACTCCTGCTTCTTTATTGTCAAGCCATGATTGCGGCATTACAATATTGTACTTAAGTGCACAGGAAAATGCTAGTTGCCTGACATCTTTTGGCGTCAATCCGTAATAAATTTGGCTGCTTTTAATCAAGTAACTCACCAAAATGCGCTCTTGTTCATCGTTGAAAACTTGTCTATTCTTCTGGTAGCCAACTGTGAGAGATTCTATAGGTGTGCCCTTCTCTTTTGCTTCTTTTCGTTTCTTCAAATATCTTGTTAGCGACATATGACATAAACCAAGATCTTTTGCGATACCACGAATTTTTTTAGTTTTGTCCTCTTCCAAAATAGCTGCTGCTTTTTCGTAAACCTCTTTAGATATTTTTCCACGCTCAGTTTTTCTTTTATACGTCCTCATCCTACAAAAAAACAACAAATTATGTAGTTCCAATTATATCAGTCGGCAAGCAGCACTACGGGGCAGGTAGTAACAAATAACAACCTGCCCCGAGCAAATGTAACTTTTAGCCCCAACGCCAAAACTGACATTTCATGGTTAAGTAGTGAAAACGCAACTAAATATAACTGTATAAACGTAGATTCGTTGCAAAAAGAAAGCATTAAGGCACACATATCACAACACACACATATCTGCTTTAAAGGAAAACAGGTTGTAGACCAATATTACGAAAAAACGAAAATGTTACTAACCTGCGGTTTTTACGGCAACATGTACGGGCTCCTCTCACAAAAGCGCTGGCGCCACTGGCTCACGCGGCGTGCCAGCCGGTGGTGGCGTGATCATTTGTCTCTTTCTCACGTCAATATAGCGTTCTCTGTTTAGCCACCGTTGCCGCTGTAACTACCTACCCCTGTCACGACCAGCCCCAGTCTCCTACTCGGCCTAACACAGATCCATTCAATTATAAAAATCAAATCTACCCACATTATTTAGTTCAGTTCCCACTAGTTCATTATGTGAAGTTCGAAACGTGTGCGATAATTAGTTGTGATTTTATAAATTTTTAACAAAGTAATCGGACATAATTTCCGCGAATGGAGCAAATCGAGCAGCGTGCCGTCATTAAGTACCTCCATAAGAAGGGGCTATCATCAAAAGCCATCCATGATGACATGGTCAGTACGATTACGATACGATTGTGCTCTATCATATTCATCCGTCAAAAAATGGATAGCAGAATTTAAGCGTGGTAGAGAGAGTGTGAAAGATGAACCCCGCTCTGGAAGGCCTTCGACGTCAACTACTGACGAAAATATTAAAAAAGTACTTGATTTAATAATGGGAGACCGCAGATTAAAAAATAGAGAGATAGCCGAGATTATAGGCATCTCTTATGAACGAACTCAAAACATTATTGTCAACGAGTTGGGTTTCCACAAGGTGTCTGCGAGGTGGGTTCCGCGACTGCTTTCAGTTGAACAAAAAAGGACGCGATTGACTATTTCACGCGACTGTTTGGAGTTATTTGAAGCCGATGCAGATGATTTTTTGAATCGTTTTGTTACTATGGACGAAACATGGGTTCATTACTGTACACCGGAAACAAAACAACAATCAAAACAGTGGAGAAGACCTGGTTCACCACCCCCTAAAAAAGGCTAAGTCGATTTTGTCGGCAAATAAGGTGATGGCTTCAGTATTCTGGGACTCGAAAGGTGTGATTATGATTGATTATCTTGAAAGGGGTCAGACTAAAAACTCTGATTACTACTGCACCTTACTACGTCGTTTACGAGAGGAAATAAAAGAAAAACGTCGAGGAATGCTCAGAAGAAAAGTCCTGTTTCATCAAGATAACGCCCGTGTTCACACGTCAGTACAGTCAATGGCAGAAATTCACAACTGTGGCTTTGAACTGTTACCGCATCCGCCGTATTCACCTGATCTGGCACCATCAGACTTCTTTCTGTTCCCTAACCTAAAAAAGCACTTGGGAGGTCAAAGATTTTCGACAAACGACGAGGTCAAAGCAGCTGTAGACGCATATTTTGACTCTAAGGAAGAATCATTTTTTTTCAACGGTCTAAATGCTTGGAAGGGGAGGTGGCAAAAGTGTATTGAACTTAATGGTGATTATGTAGAAAAATAAAAATATAACTAATTTAGTATGTGTTTATTTTCTTGGTTAGGCCGAGGACTTTTCAATCTCGTACGAGCATAAATCCGCAAGTCAAGTGTGACGGTTAGGCAAGTCCTCCCTACAACAGGAGAGGCAGCCAGCTGTGGACTTCCACGGCTTGATGATGTTACTGCAACAAGTAAAGTTCTAAATATGACTAATAAAACTGCTACGATAGTAACAGTAACATTTATTATTAAATGCTATGTTATATGTTTTTATTTAATAAAGAAAAACTAAACAATGTTTAAATTGTAACAAAACAAGCTGAAAACTTATGCATCCGACTTTCATTGTTTTCCCTTACAATGCGACTGTATATGTGTTACTTGCAGGTCGCGTTGTTTTCTTAGGAGGTTCGCTTTAAAATAGTAGCACTTGTTTCTAATATCCTTATCTTATTTAAACAGCCATGTTGATTTATTCCAAGGGCTAGTTTTATGGTTATTAGGGATTTTTGCTTTCATTTTTGTTGATATATGTATCATTCCTTTATCCTAACCTAAATTTAAAATTACAATTTAGAACAAATGTATGATCAAAGATTCTACTTTCGTTACACAGATTGCCTCGTAAGGCGCATATTTGGCATAGATGACACGCTTGACAAGAAATTTGTCAAAAACAAAAAACGCTTGACAAAAAATCACAATAAATTTGATCAAAATCTGTCGAGCCGTTTTTGAGTTTAAGTCGAGACCAACGAAGGATTACAAGAATACTTATTGAAAGTTATTTAAGTTTTACAACTGGTGGGAGAAAACCTCAATCCCGGGGAGGATCATCGAGAATCCTTATTACAATTTAATATTAAGAATTTATATTTTAATATTTTACGTATGGTAACAATCACATCATTCCCAGGGGTTATTATCAAATAGGTACTATTTAGTAGTATAAGAACCCTAATTTTTTTAACTCAATAAAAATTAAACTTTTTGATAGATAGGTCCTGCTCTATTAAAACTCTAATTCCCTTTTTAAATACAATTTGTGTTCCTAAACATAAAATTGTGTCACATTTTGTACTATTTTAGCCATATCCGCTTTTATGTGTCTCGTTTAACCGTTTAATTTTAAAGCAGTATGTAGATACGGACATTACATACATTGGGAATTCGTCGCTCGACCGCTTGGGTTAGATAACGTGCTCTAACGTTGCCGTGGTCTGTTTGAGCGCAGTGAAATACTAGTAAAAACAATTTTTGGTATCTAGTTTTCGTATCTGCATTTATACTAATTTAATAAATATCGTTGATATCAGAAGAAATGTGATAAAACAATAAAAAAGTTTAAAAAATGATAAAAATCAAATATTCAATAGCAAAGTAAGAAAAAACAGGTCTCATATTATTTATTGGGATCACGATGACTAGCACTCCCTAGTACGCATCGTATACCTGACTCTATGACCTCTATATGATAGATACGGGAGCTCCAGTCCGGTGCAGTGTGCAGGTGGGCGTATAAGCAAAAAAGAGAATGAGAGAAAAATATGTACCTTCCCAAGAAAGGTTCGTCAATGGACGGCTATCGCTGGTTAGGCTGCAAGTGTATGCAAAAGTGTTCCCATGGCCTTGGCGATATGTAGCGAAAGTGTTTTTTTCGAAGTTAAAAAAAACTTTCGAAGAAATCTGAAATTATTTTTTAGATTAAAAACAAATTTATAAATCTTACTTCCCCGCCGGCACCAATGAAATTGTTATTTGCAGTTTTAAATGCTGATTTACCACGTGCTCGACGGTAAAAAAACATCGTGAGAAAACCTGCATGTTTGA